TTTATTGGTATTCATATTTTATTATAATTTCTTTGTACTCATATAATTTCATATTATATTATTTTATTAAAATAAATTATATTTTTGGCAATTATTTATTTATTCGTATGGCAATRAAACTTRACAATAYTGARATAAATATAATGGGGTACGAGAACGGAATCGGTATATCCCGATGGCCGCCGCAGTCGGCCGGCCGACCTTTGGGGTACGATAACCGAAAAGTACCGATTTTTCTATTCATAAAAATTCTTATCAGGTAACGTTTAGTGTTTACAATGATTTATATCAAAAGGCTCAGTTTGTGTATGGTATACCTATTTTATAATATATAAATTAAGTCTTATGTTCAGAAAATCACTATAAATTAACCATGATTATAATATACTTAAATATTATCATATTAGATTCATGAAATAGATATAGAGAACTTTTTTTTAGTATGATGATTCACCATAAACTTATTTACATTTTTTTTATGCAAACTGTGGTAAATATTTTTCTTCTAACATAAATCACAACTAGTGTAAATTAACAAAAAAAATCTGACAAAGATAAAGTTATAATATATACAGTGGAACCTTGATTATCCATGGTAATGGTAGGGAAGGGGTCACACGGATAAATGAAAACCATAGATTGACCGTGGTGGTTAATGGAAACATTTCGTAATAAAAGATTTTGAAATTTTTTATTTAATTAAAATTAGAAATACTTACAATAATGTTATATACTTATATGTCCATAAGATTATATATTACAAGTTATCAGAGTTTAAAATATGATGTTATTCTTATTTCTTTATATATTGTTTCGTTAAAAATGTCATTAATATGTTTCTTGATATTTATTGAATACATATTAAGTAATATAACATGTTCGATTATAACTAAAAATACAATATCTACAGTCAATACTTATTTTTAAATTTTTCGGAAGAGTGGCCATGGTTAATCTCAAACACGGATAATTGAGGCACGGTTAATCGAGATTCTACTGTATATATTATGTTGATCTTTATTCTATAGCCATTTTACATGTCACCATCAATAAACACCTCATAAATTGAGCTCAGATTTTACAACAAATACTTATTTTTAAATTAGAGATAGTAATATAATTTTTATTTCATGTCATTCCCATTCTAAATAAACCAATTATTTTGGCTTTTTTTTGTGTAAATGCATTTTTTGCTTTTTTCAGTTATTCTAGCTGTAGAAATTGTATATTATGTTTATTATGGTATAGCAGGGGTTGGAAAAGAATTTCTATTAGAGTCTTACGATTAAAATAATAAATAGATGAGGTCCAGAAAAATAAATGTTTGTCAAATCTTAATATTTTTTATAATAGTATAATATGAAAATAAAAAAAATTGTAGGATATGTTGAATGTTCAGTTTTCTGTCTTCCACGATCCAGATTCAGATCACAGTTCTCCAGTTGTTAACCATTGTGCTATAGTAATAAAAAAAATTGTATTTAATTAATAAGAAAATCTAGAATCACGCTCAGTGCCGGCCCAAGATACGGGCAAACGGGGCGGTTGCCCGGGGTGCTTTTAATATACGAATATTTTATAAATTTTAGCGTAATATTTATTCAAATTGACAATAATATAGCAAAATGACTAAATTATCTATGATGGAATATTCTGGTATATATATATATTTTTTATAGATTTTACTCCACTTTCCACTTTTTAGCATTATATTACAAATAATTAAAAAATAATATATAATGATATAATATAATCATTATCTCGGGAAAACCAAAAAATTATGTGTTACAGTTGATATGTCTATAAATTGTATCCAAATAAGTTTTGCCGTCCTTTACCTATTCATAAATATAAGAATTTTAAACAAAATATGTAGGTAAGTATAAAAAGTATTAAATGTATTATAGAGCATTTGATTAAGGGTGCCTTTCAAAATATTGCCCGGGGGATCAAAATACCTTGGGTCGGCCCTGTATGCAATTCAGACTAAATGGTTATATTGTATAGTTTTCTGTTATCTAAAAACATTCACTCAGAATTGGTCAGTTTCACTATTGAAAATTTTGTTAAGCATATTGAGTAAATTTTCTTTTAAATTTAAAAAATTTTGSATTCAGTTTTACAACTAATTCATGTTAATTTTTGATCTTGCTTTATTTTTGATTTTTTAAAACATAAATATCATTTAAAATTTAAGCTCTACTCATAACCATAGAAAAAATAACAAACTTGTTTTTTTAATGAACATAAATTTCCGAAACCGTATATTTAATTAATATCATTCATTTTTCTTTATTTATAATATCATTTCTCTCAATATTGAATAAAATAATTTAAACATTTAAGTTTATAAACATCACATTATTTTAAGCTGTAAAACTTAACCTAAAAAAATCAGTTAATTTATTGTTTTCATTGTTTACAATGTTTTATTTTGAATGTTGGTCTATTATATTTAAATTCTGAGAATTATTATTAAAATTTGAAATTTTTTACACTTGTCATCTTATTAAAATATTTGGTTAATGTAAATCTTATTTTCTAGGTTGTTACCTATCATATTATTCTAGTATACTAGATTTAATTATACAAATTATTTTATTATTTCTAGCCAATGAAAATAGTGATATGACAAAAAATACCATTTATTTGGATCATTGTTATTATAAGGATTGCCCGCCAAACACACCAGAAGTCAACATTAGTTCTCCTAGAATCACACTTTCTACCGGAATACAGAATATTACAAGTAATTATTATAAGAATTGATTTAAAAGTAGTATATCTTAAATTTAAATTAATATTTTAGACGAATTGAAAAAATCAAGTATTCTAGATGACATTGAAGAAATTGAAGAGATTACTGTTTCAGCAGATGAGAGTGAGTTAAATACGTTAAATACGTCTTTGAATGTGCTTACAAAAAATGTAATATAATAAATAACATTCCAATAGTTTATATTAATATCTAATTTTCTTAAACATTTTGTTAGCTTATTAAAATATTTTAATTTTTTTTTTTTTTTTAGGTATCAAATCAGGCATACCATCAATACCCTTATCCAAAAATATACCAGAAAATAATTTATCCAACACCAAAAAGATGCTTAACTTAAGAGTTGGAAAAGTACTTAAAATATTAATAATTAAAAAGATTAAAATAGATTTTTTTTAAATTAAAATACTAATATTTTACGTTTGTTTAGAATGAAAAACCAAAAAATAAGGGTCCTATATCTTTAAGAAATACAATGGCTAAAAAGAAACTTGATGAAACACAAAATCAAACTGAAGATAAAGCAAGAGCTACAAAAACAGTTAAGCGTCTGTTACCAACAGTAAGATATAAGTTTATCATATACTTTTGTATTCTAGTAGTTAAAAAAATTCTTTTTGTATCTAGAATTCTTAGACTCAATATTTTTATGGAATTCAAAATATATAATGTTTAGTAATATTAAAAAAAAATCTATTTAATGTATACTATTAAAAAAATTACTAGTAAAAATATTGTTTAGAGCAGTGGTGCGCAACCTTTTTTGATCCACGACCCCCCAAAATAATTTATTTTTTAATACGGCCCCCCTACCTACCAACATTATGTAAGTGTGTAATTTAAATTTACTTAATAGTCTTAATGTATAACACATTTTACACATTTTATTCATATACATTAAATCATTAATTTTAGAGCAGTTTTAATATTTCTTTAATTTAATTAATCAAAAACATGAAAAAAAA